GGGAGTGCTTCCGAACGGGGCAGCGCCCGTCTCTTGCGTGCTCGGAGGGCTCCGGGCGTGGGGTGCGGGGGGTGCCCGGTTTGCCCCTCGTTGTCTAGAGAAGGTGTCACCAGCATCCAAGCTGGAGAGCTGTCATCAGCGTGTAGAGAAGAACAGAGCAGATGGAGCACCTCCCGGTTTAACTCCTTTGTATGCTTTTAAAATGCTTGTGTCGGCTTCTGTAAGTCACTTTTCAAGGCAAGTGTTCCTTTTTTGCCCCGTTTGAAACGGCACCCGCCAGCCTCAGCGTTCAAGAGTAGCTCCATTGTAATGAGGAGTCAGGGTACCTCAGAGAGCTAACTTGGGTGAAAGGCATGGTGGCAGTTTCACAGTTGTAGGATCTCGTATATATGTATTTATATATTTTAAGGCATCAGATCTATTTTAAGGAATCAGTGTTTCACATTTTATTTTCTTTTGTGTAATCACTTATTCTTTTTACAGCTTTAGAATCTTAGTAGCTTGTGGTTTGAAACTTTATGTGGCACCCGTCATTTTTCATTGTGTCTTTCATTGACTGTGCCTTTATTAGACACTCTATTTTACTGTTTTAGGTGACTGTCATATGTCTTTCTTACCATTCTCTGTAGATTCTCTTTCTGGGTTTGGGAGTTTTTGTTTGTTTTAAAACAAAGCCCAGTATCATACCCACATCCTTGTAGGGACATTTTAACTCTTGAAAGGTGATGTTTGCTTTGCAGATTCCGACTCTGGATCTGAATCTGAGTCTGACCAGGAGAATGCTGGCTCTGGTAGTAATGCTTCTGGAAGTGACAGTGACCAGGACGATGACAGAGAGGCAGTAAAACCTAGTAATAAGGAGTTATTTGGAGACGACAGTGAGGATGAAGGGGCATCCCATCACACAGGGAGTGACAACCACTCCGAAAGATCCTACAATCGCTCTGAAGCTTCAGGACATTCTGAGCATGAAGATAATGACCAGTCAGATGTGGACCAGCACAGTGCTTCAGAAGCCGCTCATGATGATGAGGATGATGATCGTGGGCATGGGTCTGATGAAGGCAGTCATCATTCAGAGGGAGATGGTTCTGAAAAAGCCCATTCAGAGGATGAGAAGTGGGGCAAGGAGGACAAAAGCGATCAGTCAGATGATGAGGAGAGACAGCAGAACTCTGATGATGAGGAGAGACAGCAGAACTCTGACGATGAGGAAAAAGCGCAGAACTCTGATGAAGATGAAAGGCCGCAGGTATCTGATGATGAGGAAAGACTCCAGAACTCAGACGAGGAGAAAATGCAGAACTCTGATGATGAGGAGAGGCCACAGGCCTCTGATGAGGAGAAGATGCAGAACTCAGATGATGATGAAAGGGCCCAGCACTCTGACGAGGAGAAGATACAGAACTCTGACGATGATGAACGGGCCCAGCACTCTGATGAGGAGGACCAAGAGCACAAATCTGGTAGGACAGAATACGGTAGTAATGGTTTGCTTCTGGTTTGATCTCTCTTTCTTGTTTCATTTATATTGGCCTGAATAGATTCAGACTTCACTGTAAAGGCATTAATCGTGCAGCTTTTCAACTGCAGTTATCTTTGTAATGTTTTTTTTTTTATGCAGTACTTTTAAATTCCTTTTCATCCGAATCAACTTGTTAATACAAAGGAATTTAAAAATATGTGGAACAAAGTTTTTAATTTGCTGAGAATAATTGTGCTCCTCAGTAGAGTCTGCAAGGGGCAGTGACAGCGAAGATGAAGTCCTGCGAATGAAGCGAAAGAAACCCATTGCATCAGATTCGGAAGCAGACAGTGATACAGAAGGACAGAAAGGTAAATGGTGGCATTGTTTTTTGGGGGTCTGGTTCTTTAAATCCCCATCTTAAGCACGACATTCGTCTTCTATAGAACGTGATGAAATTCATAGTGCTTGCTAGATGGTGTAACTGCAGTGCCATGGAAATAAGAAAACAGCCAGCAAGAATTCTGTGTGGGGAGGTACATGCTGTATTTCTCCTGATTATCTCTAGTTGGCTGTATCAGTATTTTGGTTTCCTCCATGAGAGACAGAGCTTTCCTTTTGTGAATGTTGTTTCATACATTTTTACTGAGTGGTGGTAAGAAATGGTGCGTCTAATCAGAGCAGCCCAGAGAACCCAAGTTTTTGTGATGTTTAGCTGGCTGAGAAAGAGGTGTTGACTCTTCTGAGAAGTAAAACCTCTGAAATGTGTTAATGAAGTTGCTGGTTACATTTATTTGTTTACTTGAGTAAAAGATGATCTTATGCTCTTAATTCTTCTGTTGCCATTTTTCAGCTAGATTCTGTTGCTTGATAGAGTCTTTCCAGGAAAACATACCTTCAATCCTTAGCTTAAAAATACACGGGGAAAACTGGTTTTTGGGATAAGAGAATAGCATGTGCTTCATAAACATTTGTAATTTTTAGCCTTTGTAGGTGATTTTAAGTGGCAATAAAAGTGAATGATGTGTTAATTTTATTTTCCTGTAAGTGTGTTTGCATGTAGGGGGGTGTGTACACGTATATGTGTATTTTAAAATAGCAATTTTTCTGCTCAAGAGCATGCAGATGTCATGGACCTATTTGGAGGTGCAGATGACATTTCCTCAGGGAGTGATGGAGAAGATAAGCCACCAACTCCAGGACAGCCCATTGTGAGTAGAGCTGACTTTTGAAATAATTAACATGAGGTTCTACTCTGAAATGTAGGACACTGATTATGATAATATTTTCGTGAAAAAGAGTAACAGCATTAAGCTGAAAGCTGTGTGTCAGCTCCTTTGCTGTTTCCTTACTGTCTTTTGGTCTCTTGGGTTTACACTGGTATTTGCGTTCACATTAAGTAGGATATAAAAATGCTGACTTGAATTGCTTTCACTGACACTTTCAAGTTCTTTTACCCAAATCTTCCTGATCTCTTTTCTCTGCACATGGATGACATTTCTTTAAGCTAATGTAAGTGCTTACTAAAGCAACAGTTGCCAGGTAGATGTATTTTTGCTTATGCTCCTCTTCTCCTTTTTTTCATTAGGATGAGAATGGACTGAGTCAAGAACAACAGGAAGAAGAGCCTATTCCAGAGACTAGAATAGAAGTAGAAATACCAAAAGTAAACACAGACTTGGGTAATGATTTGTATTTTGTGAAGCTGCCCAACTTCCTTAGTGTGGAGCCCAGGTAATTGCACATTAAATATGTGATTGATACGTTTCTTTAGTGTTTCCCTGTATTGCTTTTATTTTAGTAATACAGTTCAATATGTTGGCCATATTTAAAATGGTTGACATTAAGATGCACACTTCTGGTTGTGATCAGTCAATAGTAATTTATATTGCTGTTACCTAATTAAGTGCCAAGTAATTTTCTGATGATCTTAGGTTTCAGCTTGATTTAATAACCTTTTGTCTTTAAAAACCAAACAAAAATATGATTTAACTGAAAGCATATCCTATTTCAGTTGAATCTTAAACATAGGTTCAGGCTCTCAGATATGTAAAAGCCAAATGGACAGCATCTTAATGCACTTTTGAGTAACAAAACCATCATTTTCAATTTTAGAATGAGCCCTTTCTTATTTGCACATGCTAAATGTGCTATTTAACTATGAAGGGGCTGGTTACTTATTTTCCTTTTTGCCTCACCCAAGCTACAAAAATTTTCTGGAATTTATAAGGAGAAACCAAGTAAATTATTAGAGTTGCTTGTGATGTTAGATTTGACCCTAAATTCTACCTTCAGCACTTCTAGCCAAGTGCTGTCAAAGCCATCTCTTTGAGTGCTTTCTTAAGCAGCTACGTTGCGCTGTTTAATAGGTGTCTTATTAGCTGGTGGTGTAGCATTGGGGTTGTTATGCATTAGCTAAATCATTCTTCCTGGCTTTCATGCTATAGACTGTTTCAGGAGAGAGCTGTTAAGAATCCAGTTAGCGGCTCTAATCAGTGAGGGAAATCCTGGGGATCTTTGGGGGTCAGACAGGACCGAAAATAGGATTGTACAGTAGCAGAGTCTGTTTATCACTTCCCTCCCTTGCAGCAGCCTGGAAACTATTAGGAAGGAGGCTCGGGAGTGGCCTTCCCACACTCACTCCCAGCCTAGTCGTCAGGTTTTTTGAAGGAAGAGAGGAAAATCAATCTCATCTTCTTTTCCCTTTGGTTGGTTTTGAGATTAAAGGTCAACAAAAATGACAAAGACTGTGCTTTTAGAAAATCCCTAATTCGCCACATTTATAAAATTTCATTTTTTTTTTTCTCTGGAAAAAAATCTATACCATATTGTACAGACTTTACCCTGACCTCGTTACCCTGAGTCTAAGGAAATAGTATTTTCTGAGGCTCACTTGCTTTCTTTAGCTAGAGCCATTTACAGGGCCTGAATGTTCAAGTGGCTGTAACGGATGGTAGTGAAGGTGCTTGGGGAGGCCTCCTGTGGTGTCAGATCAATGCGGTAAATGACATTACTGCAGAAGTGGCTGTCTCACAGCTGCAGTGCCTGCCATTGTGTGCAGTGTATGATTTAAACCTTTCAAGCACCTGTTATTTTGCACAACTCTGGAATCAGCTGGATTAATTTTTAGAAGAATAAAGACTATTATATCATTTATTGCAGACCTTTTGACCCCCAGTATTACGAAGATGAATTTGAAGATGAGGAGATGCTTGATGAAGAGGGTAGAACAAGGTTAAAGCTCAAGGTATAACGTTAAGTTTCCTTATCTCTTTTACACGCATCTAGACATATTTTTTCAGAGTCTATTTCAGGTATATTTGAATGGTGTTTTGAGTTCTGGTTCAGATCATGAAATCGTGGACCAGTTCAGCACTGAGGAGAGTTGATCCATTTTAGTAATAAATAACAGCTTTACAGCTGCATTTCACCTATAAAAGCAATACCTTTCACTTTCATTTCCTTGCATGCTGCAGCAAATAATCTAGCCTTTCTAACTGTAATTCTTGACCTGTGGAGTATATTTTACCCACAGTCTTCCTTACTGTGAGTTAGAAAAAGTGTGTTGGTTTTTTTCCCCACAGGTAGAAAACACAATACGATGGCGGATGCGACGAGATGAGGAAGGGAACGAGATCAGAGAAAGTAATGCACGGATAGTCAAGTGGTCAGATGGAAGGTTAGTTTAGACTTTGTGCTACTGAAGGAATACAGTTGTTTTTCCAGTGAAACGCTATGGCTTGCAAAATTGGAAGGTCAACAAACTTTGATATCAGTTCTGCACAGCAGAAATTATTTTAGTCTCAGTGCTTAGAAAATTTTATGCTCTGTTTAGTTTGGATTGAAGTATAATTATTGGCTATATTTGAAAAGAAAACGTGAAGGCTTTCTCCATTTAGAAATGAGGCAAAAAATAGACTGGGGGGGCTTTATCAAATAATTGCTATATGAATCTCTTTTAAGCATGTCTCTTCACTTGGGCAACGAAGTCTTTGACGTGTACAAGGCGCCATTACAGGGAGATCACAACCATTTGTTTATCAGACAAGGGACAGGTCTGCAAGGACAGGCTGTTTTCAAGACAAAATTAACCTTCAGGTAAACATGCTATTCTATATCAGATGTTGATACTTCCTTTGCAATTAAGTGCTGTAACTAGTATGTAAAGATTAGACATACTAGTTTCTAAACTTGCTGAGTGTAACTGTTCGATAAGAATGTGCTATTTTCCAAAGTCGGCATTTCACTAAGATTTGTCCTAAATTAGGTGTCCCAGTTTGAAAGGTTAATATGCCATTCACTGCAATATGTAGGCTACATGTATTTTGTAATATATATTTTAATTTGCATTTTTAAGTGTAAGTCCTCATCTGAATCAGAAGGAATATTCCCTGAAATTAACCTTTCGTTTGATGCACAGTTGCTATCAAGCTGATGATTACATCCTGGGCTATTGATGTGAAATGTGACGATGATTATGTAGGCTGGTAGTAGACTGCAGATGCTTTGTTGAGAGAGGAATTGATGTCTCCAGTAGCTGTTACAATGCACATAAGGTGCACCTCCATCACTGTAGGTGAATCTTTGAAATCTTTAGTGTGCTGGTCTGACTGATGTTCCTTGGAGAAGTATTTAACCCGTAGCTTTTTTTTTAACAGGCCACACTCTACAGACAGTGCCACTCACAGGAAGATGACTCTGTCTCTGGCAGATAGATGCTCAAAGACCCAGAAAATCCGTATTCTGCCAATGGCAGGTCGGGATCCAGAGTCTCAGCGGACAGAAATGATTAAGGTATTGTGGCAGGGAACTCTCTTATCTGCTGATGTAATCTAAAAAAACCCCTAAGATAGCTGAACATTTCTGGACATTTTATGACTTTATGAAAAATCGAGTGTATTTTGGAGTTATAGACAAGAGTTTTTAGCCACGGGTGCAGTTTGCTTAACCTTACATACCACAACAAAAATCAGAATATGTACAGTCTTTACGCTGCCGTGACCTTATTTCAAAAGCTAGAGTGGAATACAAGTTTCTCTTCAGTTGGTTGGTTTGGGGATTTTTCCCCTCAATCTTTATATATTCCTTGTTTCTTTGGACAGAAAGAAGAGGAGAGATTAAGAGCTTCTATTCGCAGAGAATCTCAGCAGCGAAGAATGCGGGAGAAGCAGCATCAGCGTGGTCTGAGTGCAAATTATTTGGAGCCTGACCGCTACGATGAAGAGGATGAGGGAGATGATGCAATCAGTCTAGCAGCTATCAAAAACAGATACAAAGGTGGCATCAGAGGTAATAATAAACCTTAACAGGATGTAAGTAGGGCCTGTGTGATTCAGATGGATTAATTTCTTGGTAGAGTCCTGCTGATACTGTATTTTGCCAGTTGATTTGATACATGATCAGACATGAATTGAGTTCATGTAAGTTTATTTTGTTTACTCTGGACTTAGATTCTGCCAGCTTTCTGTGGACTAAATTTAGGAGAATTATTTTTAATATTCTCTCTTCCTCACCAATTTCAGATAACTATTTGTCTTTGAATTTTTCTCTGCAGAGGAACGTGCTAGAATCTACTCTTCTGACAGCGATGAAGGCTCAGATGAAGATAAAACACAAAGACTACTCAAGGCAAAGAAACTTACTAGTGATGAGGTAAGAAAAGGATTTTGTTCTTAAGCTGCTAATTTTCCCGTCAGGAACATTTTCTACACTAGATCTGTTTCTTAAAGCTGAGACTTTTGTACTTTCATTTCTGCTCTGATTAATGAATTATTTGACTTGGCATGCTTTCCATGGCAAATAATCACCAGTTTCTTACGCACTGCATCAGTTCATAGACCTGAGTGATTCCCAAAGGAGGTCACTGTTGTTATTGCTGATTTAAAGATGGAAAAAATTATGTAAAGTTATGTAAAATGACTTTACCAGAATTACGCAAGAAGTAAGAAGGTTTACTGTCCATATCCTAATGCTGTGTTATCTCCTAAGCTACATGGTCCTCTCCTGTTTATTACGTAAATGGCAGAAGCATTTTGACATAGTATTTCTTCTCCTTTAAAACAGAAGAGTTAAAAAGAAAAACCAAACATGAGGAAAGAAGAGTTAATATCCATTACTAAACAGATGTTATCCATCGCCCAAGTACTGTCCTAAACATTAGGCCATGGTCAAGTTAAGTGTTAGCTACAGCAGTGGTGCTGTTTCCTCTTCTGAAATTGTGGTTTATTGGTTTGTAATTTATCACTGCTGGGTTTAAGCAGGTGAATCTTCGTGTACATCATGTCTTGAGGCATAGTTCATTTCAAGTAATGGGACTTCTGACAGAGCACTGCAGTGCAGCACTTTTGAAAATTGACAGCTGCCATTTCTGAGATTAAAACTTTACTATCATCATCCAGTGACAGAAGTGAAACCAGGAGGTATATGGACTCTGTCCTGTATCAGCTATACCTGTGTAGTCTATTTTCCTGACCCTTGCTCCTCAGTGTAATATGCCTCTGTGGCAAAGAGCCATAGGGCTTTTACTGTGAACCTTGGGAAGCTGAAAGAAGAGGGAATTTTGGAATTCATGACACCTGGCAACTGACGCTGGCTTCCCACTGCCCTGTTCAAGAGGGCAGTGGATTGGGTCAGGTGTTTGGCCTAATTGGGTTTAGTAGCCCATGAGTTTTCTTTCTTTGAGACATCACCAGTTCTGTATTACTGTAATCTTGCTGTTGATTGGTCTAGTGCAGCCTTGAGTTGCAGCTGTGCTTGCACTGCTCTCAAGCAAAGATTGGCTTAGGAGTGGCACTCTGGACACACCTGGCTCTGCTGATAGGCACCATCACTTACGTGGCAGAATAATAAATACAACCTAAGTTAGCTTAACAGGTTGTTATTACTACCTTATAGGTATGAGAGATGTTTTTACATTGGCTTGTTAGTTTGATTAATCTTCCTGTCCTGTTTTACTGTTTCAGTCTTTCATCTGATTTCCTACAGTCATAACTAGCGTGATGTTTTAATAGCTGCTGAAGTGGCTAAAACCTTATCCTTGAATTTTAGAGGTTTCTGTGATAAAACCTTTTCTTTAAAGAGTAATTTTGCAGTGTAGCTTGCTCTGTGTCCTTCTAGTGAATGAATGCATGTCAGACTTCTGTAATCACAGCTGCTGGAATTCCAAAGTTGTTTTTAAATGACTGACATAGGACATCATTTTCAGTATGACACATACCTCCATAATGACAGAAATCTTAATTTTTGAAGGAGTAAATTTGCTCTTACTTGGATTTCTATACTGTGCTTCCTGTAAACTTCTCGGGAGTCATGTCTTACTTCTGAGCCTTTTTGTTTGCTGCATTCTGAATGCATGTTCTTGCTGCTGTGACTACTCCTCTTACACTGTACACTGACTATTTGCCCTAATATGACACAGAAGTAGAAGTTAGTAAGACACAGATTCTGGCTTTTTATTATACATCGAGGAAATGTTAATAATTCAGAAAATATGACAGCAGTCCTAGAGACAGCCATAGCGAGGCATATGGACAAAACTAATTTTGTGAGCTCTGTTAGTGTTTGTCAGTAGAAACTGAATAGCTGCTAGTTCATGATACAGCAATGGCAGGACTTTGCGTTTCCAGTCTCATAAGAACAGGTCTAGTCAACAGCATTTCTCTCTGCTTGAGAAACAATAGCCTCCATTTTAAAGTTACATGACTTACAGGTAATATTCCCATCAGGGCCACGGAGGGGTGCTGCAGTGTTATGAAAGAACCCCAGGGTGCATCGTCACTGCTTACTTTCAGTCACCACGTAGGAAGTATGGTATTTGTAGTATGTATGCACATACATGAAACATGGGCTTCCTCACACACAGACTTTTATGTGCTGTCAGTCAACAATACAGCACAAATCTTTGTCCTGATAATAATTTGCTACCATTACTGAAAACGTCAATCTGCTATTAATATATTTTATCAACACATGGCAAGTAGTTTTACTGTTACTGTAAGTAATGGGCATATTCTGCTAACCAGGAAGATGAATCATTTAACAATAGCCTGGCTAGATTACAAGAGAATGCTTGTTTTGAGGAAGAAGCTATCATTGAGATTTCCACCCCTACTAATATCTGTTTTCCGTGCTTAAAATTCCTTTCCTAGATTCTCACTGTGCTAACTCAATGTAGGATAAATGCTTTACATCAGAACTTAACCATTAGAGTTCTGAAACTCCAATAATTTGTTAAAGTTCTGTAACTCAATCTTTGCTGCTTCTTAAGATCCAAGTAATATGTGTTGTTTTAAAAAGAAATCAACCAAAAAACCCCACCCCTAAACCAAAAAATGGAAAAAGGGATGAGCTTGCTCAGACCTGAGGGTATTTTTTAAGATGCTCTTCTTTTTAAACAATAATGGAGTTACCACTTGTACTTCATGTCAAAATTGATGAGTTTTGCATTAATAACTGGTGATTTGTAGTTTGATGAAACATTTTCATAGCAATCTGATTTAAAATGTTGTTTGGAAGGAGGCTTTAAACTGAGCTCATCAATCTTTTTGCTTTATGCCAGAGAGTGATTTAGTTGCTGGTTTGGGATTTTTTTTTAACAAGCAAACAAATGCCTACCCAGTTACTGAATTTCTTCTTTGCCTCAGTAGCTCTCACTTTGGGCATACAAGTGTCAATGGTCTGAAAACTGAGCAAAGCTGCACAGGCTGCCTGAAGAGAAAGCTGCTGCATGTTGAGAAATTCACTACAAATTCTAGGAATTACCCGTGCTTGTAAAACTTGCTGAGAACGATATTGCATATTTCATTAATCCAGATTATGGCATAAATTACTACCGTGCCACAGTTCAGTGTGAAGATATGGTTGCATGTCTGTTGACGTAAGTGGAGCTGCAAATGTATTATGGACCTACTTAGGCTGGGCCTTGATACTGGTAGTAAACGTTTACTGAACTTAAAGTACTGATCCATAAGCAGTCTTGCATCACAGTACACAAAATGGAAAAACTACACCTAATAATTTTGCTTTTCTTACAAGAAAGACTTCGAGGTCTTTTTGTTGTTCTTCTGAGTCTTCTATTTGAGCTCAAAGTATGTTGAGTTTTGTCCTTTTTTTGCTTTAGGAAGGTGAACCTTCTGGAAAGAGAAAAGCAGAGGATGATGACAAAGCAAGTAAGAAGCATAAGAAATATGTGATCAGTGATGAAGAGGAAGATGATGATGATTAATATTAAGGAAGCACAGAAGTTGATTTTTTTTTTTATACATATATTTATATATATATTGTACAGTTCTCTTACAGCGAAGATGTAAGTAACCATAATGGGGTTATTTTGATAAAGGAAAATTCCATTGAAGTCTGAGTTTCTGATGTGAATAAAGTTTTTTGACTTCCTTTTACTTTTTAAGCTTTTTCTCTTACTGCAGCAACTAGTGCACCAGGGATTGTTGCAGCGCCATTTGTTATCTCACACAGTACATCTCAGTTTTGAGAACTGTAGTAATTGATTATCCAAGTGAATTAATCAGTGATTTTTACCGTATCCTTCAGGAGAAAACATTCTGATCTTTACAGGATGCTTAAATGGTAAGTTTCCCTGACAAGGGTATGTCGATTTAGCTTACCATTTGTATGGTAGGGTTGGAAGAACATTTGAATGGTCCAGTACAATTCTGCTTTATTTGTAGATATTACATATTTCCTGGTGACTATGGACAGTACATCACTATCCTGGTAAATTTTGATGACTAAAAGTATTTCTTACCATGCTTGACTATGAAGTTCCTGCAGTTAGAATAGTTCACTCATCAAATAAGACATTTATTTTTCATGCATTGAAGCCCAGAATGAAAATCTGCATCTTGCCTGAGCATTAGCAATAACAGCAATAATAATAGGCACATGCTAGTGATGTAAACGTCAGAGTAAAAGCACTTACTTAAACAAAACTAAGAAATTTCTGCCAGCAGAGATGAAAGTCTCCTTTAAAAGGTGAAATGAACCATAATGCAAAAATGCATCCTAATAATAGTGGCGCATAATCTCTTGTAATCCTTATGGTTCTGTTTCCTGTTGTTCCTGCTTGGTTTTATAAATAGGTTTATTTAGCTGGGAAGTCACTGGAGGTGAATGTTCTGGACAGAATCTTGCTGCTTTTACACTATTTCTAAACACCTTATTTGATGGTACAACACCAGTTGTAAAGTGGGGAAAGGCTACAAGAACTATCTGAACTTTTCCATGCTTTCTTTCCAAGATGAAATATCCCATATGTAGCTTTTCTTGTTGATGAGAGAGCATTCGGGTGTTACCTGTGTTGCTTTTTTAACTGTCTTTCCACACAGTCCTACGGAGTTTGGATGCAACTTAAATAAGGTAACAGAAAGAAAACAGAACTAGCTTAATGCCTCTTTGAAAACAGTAGAAAGCAAGTGCCTCATAGTCAGCATTTTGCTCTTGTGACATTCTCTGATTCTTTGGGATGCAGCTTTCAACGTGGACATCTTGGGTTTGTCATCTTTAATTAGGATAATAGCTTGTCAAAGTACTGTACCTCAATTTCTCCTGCCTGGAAGGTACAGGAAGTGTTCTAGCTGCAGTAGGACGGAGCTCTGTGTTAATATATTCTGCTGAGCAGCTGACTGCAGTGTAGACATTTGCAAGTACGAAAACAAAGTGAAAAATACCAACTCGGAAGTCTGAGTGCCTGAGAAACTGTTGTGGGTTTTTTCTATAATTAAATTGTTATCTAAGAGTTCCTGTGCCTCTTTAATGTGCAGATAAAACCTTTCTCCATCTGCTGGAATTTTGACCCTGTAATCCTCTTAGTTCAGACCTCTGCTGGGAGACTGATTCCTTACTTGAGGTTACCTGCTTTCCACTCGTAACCTTCTCAGGAAGAAGCCAGCTGCTTAGAAAGGGACTCATTCCATTGGGATGTAACATACTGTAGTTTCACATAAAAACCTCCCACATACCTCTTAAACAACAAATTTGCTGTGTGGAAACACACTGCTTTTTCATTGGTAATGTGTTTGCTTTTATGTCAGTTCAATTAAGTGTTGGCTGTTTTTATTTTGACTACACTCCTAAGAGTGAAAATGTTTTAATCACTTTCGTAGGTTTGATGCTGACTAAGCCTTTAGTGGAGTACTCCACTAGAGTGTATTAAGTACTCCACTTTAGGTTCCAAAAAATAGGCTTTTTGTGGATTACGAAGATGAAAAGAAGTAATTTTTTTGCACCGTTGTCCTTTGTAAGTTGCTTTTTTAAAGTCTTCTTTACACATGGAATTTTGGACAGTGTTTTCTCAAACTAGTTTAACAGTCATTGTGTAATTAAAGTCACTTGAATGAACTTAGCCTTATCCACCGTATTTTCTTAGTTGTGAGTCTAATGTATAGTTTTACTTAACTTGAAGACAGTTTCTGCTATCCCTTTTCCCAGCCTCCAGTATGAGAGAATTACTTGGAATTGTTTCATTTTACCCAAATTAAACATACTAAGCCAAAGTTAAGAGAACGTGGATTGAACTGTGTTTACTCTTGTACTGGCTGGTCAGAATACTTCTTTCAGAAAGGGCATGGTTTGAACAACTTCCAACAAAGAAAGTTTCTTTGAAGAGCTGATACTAAGCTCTCTTGAGTACTGGATTTTGTGGCTAGTGGCAGGATGCAGGATAAATTCTGTTGAAGCAGTCACTCAAAGCTGTTCTTGGCTGTCTAGTGTTTTGTTTTCAAGTATATTCTTCAGCTTTATCCTGGTTTCCAACTGTTAATCTGGAGTTTTCTTTCTAGTACCTTGTAGCATTTTCCACTATCCATTTTTCTCCATCCTGGCCGTGCAACTTGGCATGGATTTCGTGTTTCAGCACACATGACGGATCAGGGAGTCCCCATTGAAAAGAGCAGCTGCTCATGCAGTCCCTCTCTTCTAGCAGCAGGTTTGGCGATAGGTAGCCCAGCTCAGTGAGTCAACTTGCTAAACTGGCAGGCAGTGTCTTTTCTGCTGAGCTGTGTGTTCTGCCAGGCATGCCCGCAGGACTGACTGTCTTACTGCCATGTGAGCATCCGCCAGCCCAGGGAGCCGGTGTGGCCACGACTGGGGGAAATCAGGGAAGGGTGATCTCTTTGGCAGAGGTAGACATTGACTTGGCTTTTTTTGAAAACTTACCCTTACCCATACAGAAAGAAGTGAGTAGTTTTCTACTGGTGTAGCTGCCAGAGCTGGCACCAGTGAGGAGTCATCTGTGCCTTGAGGTGGTGCAAGGGGAAGCAGGACAGATCCTGTATAGGGCAGCAAGTTTTAGCTCAGCTCTGATAATAAGCTGCAGCCTGAGGAACGTGTTAAACATGAGATGGTGACTTTCCTATGAAGTCATGGGTATTTATTTCTCAACCAGGAGGCACAGGGGTCCTTAGTGTCAGGCCATTCTAGCAGAGTGCCTTTGTATAACAGCATTAGACTGCTAATGAAGCTCTCTGAGTGTTGATTACATAGAGATTGTTAGGTGGGAATGATTGAGAAGATGATCTGCTTCTGATAAATGTTCTTCTAGTTTTTGCTGTAAGAGATGTACTGTCTTACACTTGTGAAACATACATAGGCTACTCTAACGCTCAGGAACCTGCCTGTAACTTGCCTTGGAAGTGCTTCTTGGAGAGCTTGTGACTAATACCTGCTGTTGCCTAGTGATGCCCTTTGGCTTGAGCTGGGGTTTTTTCCTACCTGTCTGGACATGAAAGACTTGCAGAAAAGCTGCAAACTGGTATTGATTACCAGCTTGTATCTTTAGTTGCTTTAAAACTCCTGCTCATTCTGGGGAATTATATAAACTAAGTAATTGAGAAAATAACATAAAATTAAGTGAATCTGCTGAAATGATTATCTGACGCAAAGCCTTTTTATTTAAAAAAAAGTTCTTTGAGAAGAATCCTTTTGAAAAGACTTTTGGTTTCTTGAGGGTTTTGGTGGTGCTTTTAAAGGCTATTTTTATGCTTTAAAAGCCTATATGAATCTTACAGGCTGATATTTGGAAAAAGGCAGTTATTAAAGTGGAAGCTTAACTTCAGAAAGTGGGGTTTTTTCCATTAAGGCTTAGTCTTGAAGAAATGAGAGGTGGTGGAGCCAGTTTACCAACAAACATAGCTTCATGTCTCTGGGTTATGTTGAAATTTGCTGGGAAGCAGTTGCATTCATGCAGTTACTGTTAGTCATGGAATCATATCCATGTTGTATTTTTTCTTTATTGTAAATTAAAGATAAATAAAATCTTACAAAACGGTGGAAGTATTAACTAACATACCCTCTTCTTTATATCCTTGACTGAGTCAGATTATCTCTCATTTTATATTGTTTGATGCTTTTCCTGTTCTGTGCAAGACACCTCACTTCAGTATGTAACCGTGGAGCTGAGGTGCTAATCTTAGCCTGGTAATTTGGCAGTTTTTCTGAGGTTTTCTTCTCATGACGTGTACAGATACATGATAAACATTCTGTACAGGACAAGTTCTTACAGTAAAACTCCTTGATCTTGCGATAAATCCATTTTTGGAAACTATACATGGACACTGAAGAAGCACTCTCACTTTCAACGTGTAAAGGAAATAAACAATAGGGTTTTGGTAACAGCGGTGCCAGCCCTTTCATTCAGGCATTTGTATTAAAATTAACACCATTTGAGTTATTACCCTTTTCCATACCTACCTCGTCGCAGTAATCAGTAATGTGTCTTTTGGATCGAATTTTCTGTGGTGTTCCTTTCAGTACAGGTGTTCCTGGTGATTAGGAAAGGAAATGAGAATATTCTTCCTTTGGAAAGAAATGCAAAACATCTACCATCGTTTTGAGAAGCATTGGTGCTCACTTACAGCTTCGTGTCTCATGATGGAACAAGAGGCTTAAATAACAGGGACAGAAATAGTGGAGTGTTAGCTTACTGACTAGAAGTGTTTGCCTGTTACCCTTTCCAACAGTTCTGTGAATTGCCTTGGGATGTAGATGATGTTCCTCTTCCTAGAACTTACACCAGTGTGTTATTGAACATAGACAGCTATAGTCTAATGTAAATGCAAATTTGGGCCCAGATACGTTTGGGTTCTTAAATCAGTCTTACGAAAATGACTAGAACGTGTTCTTATTTTGGGACTAACTACATTTTGATCAACCTAGTGGGAGAACATAGGATAGAGATCAAACTCTTGCAGTACCTACAGTAAAGGCATTTAAACCCGTAGCAACCTCCCTCGTTTGCAAAAGAGCTAAACCTTCAAGTTATAGTTTCAGGAAAGCATGTAAGTTTTCTAACAGTCCAGCTGTGTATAAATGGTCTAATATACATAAGATGGGCATTGCAGTGGTCTTCTGTAACAATGAATGGAAATTAATTTAGAGGGGGAA